TGATCTCCCTCACCAAAAAAAAAAAAAAAAAAGTACCATCGATTCTGGCATTTAAAATGGGCAAAGACATCTCTGAAAACACATCCTGTCCCCTGCAAACTGTAAGCTCTGGACTCAAAATCCAATCTGCACCCTGTGCAAATCTAACTTAGGTTAGCAAGACTAAATATGACCAGTGTAGCTTTCAAGGAGGAAGACTACAATGCAACTACTTGACGGCAACAGGTTGTAGTGGTGACAGGCTCTTGGAGACATGACGACTTTTTCCTCCAGGCTCTCCCTTCACTGGGCCCTCTGTGAACTGTCTGTGGTCTGGTGGTAAAGCTGAAAGAGAAGTGGGCAACAGCAAACCAGGAAGGGGGTGGCGGAGAAGCGCAGAGGGTGCTCAAAGAGGAAAGGATCAGGAGTTGTTCCGGTGACCAAGTACTTCAGGGGCTATGAACTGTATGGGTCTCTTCAGTTCAAACAAGGACAACAGACGTTTTTTGAGCACCTGCTGATGTACAAGGCATTAGGCTGGCATTTGGGGAGGAGAGAAGATGCAAAATGCTAAGAGTAGCAAGTTCAAGCTTGTAAAAATGTAGCTGAATGAGCAGTCACCAAAGAGGTGAAAAAGCCCAGGGCTTTATCCAGAAATAACAAGCAGTCAAGTTTGACGTAAGAGGAAATGAAGGTGAGTTGTGGCAGATCAGACTAGAGGGGGGGGCCGGAGGCCAGGCTGTGCAGGACTTGAACGCTATGCTGAAGAATCTGAACTGTATTCTGTAGGCAACAGGGAGCAGTGCAACACTCAAGTCCACATACAAAATCGCAGGACATGATAAAAGTCATGTTCTAAGGAGATCCCTAAGGGAGAAGGAGATGTCAAGTTAGAAAGACTTGTAAAGAGAGCCCTGCACCAGTTCAGGTAGGAGAACACCAACATGAACTAGAGCGACTTAAAATTTTTTTTAATTTTCAAAAAATTTTAAAGTTGCTGAAAAAGAATGGACAGAATTTGGTTATTAGACATGAGGAGAGGGAAGAGTCAAGGATGACTGAGGTTTTCAGGGGCTGCATTAAGAGAAAAGAAACTGGAGGGAGGGAAGGCGTAAAGAAGATAATGAGTGTAGTTATTTGGAAGAAACCAGCCTAGGACAGGCCCTGGAGAGGGCAGCCAGTTTCTAAGCTCTTGGAGGGAGGGATCTGCAATTCCTAAATATCTTTCCCAAACAAAAGCATCCCTAAATATCAATCTAGCCTTCCTTAAGTCCTGTGACCTTTTAGGAGGCAAACATTCACTCCCATATTACAGATGGAAGACAGGAAAGTCAAGAGACATGTCTAATATTGTACCAAGGAGCAATAATGAAAATAAAACTATCCAGGCCACTTAGATATACACTTTGTTCAAATCTTCATCATTTATATTTGCCACCTTCAGTTCACACATGCATCACTGGTCAAGTCTACAAATCTGTTACAGTATATTTTAAGAAAGAAAACATGCAAGTCAGCTAGCTTCTGTGTTCCAACACTGTCTTTCCTCTAATAAATATTGATGCCTCCCTCTTCCTGAACCTTCCATCCCTGAGGATTTTTCTGTGCTAAGCTCCACTTCTAACTGAACATTTACGGGTCACCTCTCTGCTCTAGACTCCCACTGTAGAATTCCAAAACAAACAGTTTTCTGAAGGAAAGAAAAGTCTTCAGGGGGTTCTCCTGTTCTAGAAACAGACACAAGGTTAAATGAGACAAAGAGGGAAAATGGAGAAGGGAACAACAAAAGGAGGAAGAAAAATGAACACAGTTCTCTTTTGTTTAAAGAAACAAACGGATTCAAATTAATTTGCTTAGGAGCCTGCAGAGCTTCCTACAAAGGTGAAAATGATGGGGTGATATTTCTACCGGTAGGATAAACATCCAGGAAAATGCATTTTCTCCATGCTAAAGGGATATGTTGGTCACATAGATTTTACTTATTGAGAGAGAGGGAGACAGGGAGAAAAAGAGGGAGGGGGGAGGGAGAGAGGGAGAGACGGAGAGAGGAGAGACAGAGAGATGGAGAGACGGAGAGACAGAGAGACAGAGAGACGGAGAGGCGAGACAGAGAGACGGAGGGGTGAGACAGAGAGAGGACCGACACAGGGGCTATTTTCCAACATTCTCTCTGGCTTCCACCCTGGAAATCTAGGTTAGCCTTTATGCTACCCTGAGATATAAATAGCATTCATTTCCTTTCTCAGGCCAGACTTTAATGCTTTGTTTCCTGGGTCCAGGGGAAAAAATACTCATAGCACATCTCATTCTAAATTTGAGTTACTACAAAGCTGCCTCACTTCGAATCAACTATGGAATAAGAAAACCACTTCAAAAGACAAAAATGTGTCTGTTATTATCACTTGGTTAAATTAGCCCAGAATAGCCCCAATGGGACTTCTGAGTAGCTGTTTCCTTTCTAATGCATAGCCCAGAATCCTCCAGAACGCAGTTCTAGGTCTTTGCATGTGCCCAGGATGAAACACAGGTGACCATTTTACACAATGACATAGATGAGTACTAAGCCCTGAGCAGGATCCCCCAAGGGGCTTTCTGGATAAGAGCACCTTCAGTTGCTAGGTAGAAAGAGGGAGGCATTTCTCCTTACTTCTTTTTAAGGAAAGAAAAAGCTACACAGTGAAGAGCAGTTAAATAAGTGAGGCAAAAGCCCCTACCTACAACAGCCACTTGTCTGCGACCAGTGCAAGGTCTTAGCAGCTGAAGAGGCCAAGAGAATCACACGAACGGGCTGCCACTCAACCAGAAGCACTACATCTCACTTCAGCATCACAACCTAGCTCAGAGACACCAGTCTGACCCCGAAGACATAGTCTCCAACCTAAAACTAGCTGCATTTCACTTTTCTACTACAATCCCTACCAAGCTGGGCCTAGTACCTTTGAATTCAGCAAAGACAAATCAAAGAAAGAAATGGACATTTCAGAGAGAAGCATCAAACTGAGATCTTCCCTTTCTCTACCAAGGCAAAAGCAAGTGAAGACCAGATTCACCTTGTCCCCTCAAATACCTAGGCCTTTACAATGTTCTTACCCTTGGCTCACCCACAAGGACCACCGACCTGCTGAGCTGACCCACTCTCTCACCTCTGTTTATGGACTGTCACCTCCTTGGGGGAGCCCTGCTGCTCCTGATATGCAGGGCAAACAGTATTTTTAAGCAGTCTTTTGCCTCAGGTTGGTTCCCCAGGCTATTGGGAAGCGGCTATTTTGATCATATGCATATAGGAGGAACCAAACCCACTACCTGTTTTCCTTGGGGCCTAGACTCTTGCGAACACCCAGAGGAGGCCCAAAGGGTTCCTCCTACCTGTTGTAGAAGATATTACTCTCCTTTGAGGCCAGAGCAACTCTGGAAACAGAGATGACCCAAACAGAACTGGGTGCTTGGTGCCATTTCTTACCAATTTTAACATGACCAACTGAGTAATTAACAGAGTAACCCCACTTACTGTAGGTATTATGATGGGGACAAATCATTTCAAAGTAGAAAGAAAACCAAAACCTTGACAATAATTCCTTACCAACATATGGGTAGTTTTTGTTTTTTGAAAGGAAATGAAAGATTCTGAGATCCTGCGCCATTTATCACCCGGAGCAGATAACCGGCTTCAGAGCCATCCTGACCTCTCACAGAAGATCTCTCTCGACTGCAGGAATGAAGTCCTCCAACAGCCTGGCTCTGGTGTGCTGGCCCAGAAGACAGAACCCACCCTTTCTGTTGCCACTGGGCCTGTCCTCTGCTGATCGTCTGCATTCCGGCAGCCTCTTTCGAAGGGACAAGGAGAGGCTATGTTCTTAATCTTAAACTTTCACCTGTCCCAGCACCAGAGCCCAGAATGTCATGGAAACTGAAGCAAAAGCTGTCTCAAGATCAGCAATTCAAGTGAGCAGAGATAAGCCCATGAAAGATGTAAACTATCAGCAGCATCAGACGCTCCGGCCATGTCTTGTGGTGGCTGCAATGAAGGAGAAGCACGAGCACTGAGGAAGTCCTCTGCTCGCTTGGTTTCCTCTCAGTTTACACACTTGTGCAACACGCTGTTCCCCCTCATAGTTTCCAAGCCTTGTAACAGCAAGTGGAGTACCAGCCTCCACTTATACTGCTGCTTGACAGACTCTTCAGCTCCAGCAAATGGCTGAGAAGAGGGGCACAAACAGGTACCCGTGGTCATGCCAAACCTCGCATGTAACTGAGCGTCATGGGCGCACCCAGGAGAAAAAAATACCAGGGGGCCCTTGCAGAAAACCTAGGAGCTGGTCAGAAAATACAGCTCTGCAGGTCCTCCCCGAGCACCCGATGGACCCAAATTTCAGCCCTGGGCCTTGCACTCTCCAAAAGACAACCTCCTGCTCAACAATTGGCCTTTTGTGTTGCACGACATTATCCACCAAGGGCTGGGTGGAAATAAACCTAGTCCCTTTCACTTGTAACCTCATCCTGGCCTCCAGGCCCAGGGTGGACTGGGCTCTCCTGGACTCCACATCTGCGCACAGCCCGATCTATCACAGGGGCTGAGGACGGGCAAGAGAGCCAGACAGCCCCAATACACACACCATTCCTCACCTGAAGGAAGGCTCTATCGTGGGGAGTGTACCCACACACAAGCCAAACTCGGAAGGTCAGGACTGAAGAAACGGACTGAAGGTCAGGATGGAGAAACAGGTTCAGAGAGGGGCAGCGATGGCCCCAGGTCACACAGCGAGTCAGAAATGAAGCTTTACAACAATCCCAGCCTCGGGATCCCAGAGGACCCCACTGCCACCCACTTGCCCTCACCACGCCAGGCTAAGGATAACCAACATCCCCAGTGAACTTCAGCCCCAGCGTGACCGCCTCCGTCGGGCCAGGACCTTGGTCTTTGCCCGTGTGTCCACCGGCCAACCTGGAGACCCTGCCCGCCCGAGGGCTGGGCCCGCCACTGCCCCCAGAGCTCCAGCCCAGCCTCCCCGCGCCCGCCGGACCTGCAGAGTCGCGCTCCCGAGAGCCGGCGGCGGCGGACATTTCCCGACCTGCTTCCTCCAGCTCTTCATCACGCCGCCCGCACCGCCCAGCCGGCTACGCCCCCAGAGGGGCCCGCCCCCGGGTGCCACCTCAACCAATCGAAGGCCGACCTGCTCCACAGCCCCGCCCCCAAACAGAACGGAGCCCGCCCTTGCGGCCGGGCCTCCTCCAGTCCCCACCGCCCCTTTTGAGACGGATACCTGCCTCCGCCAATTGTGGCGCACCCCGGCCAGGTGCGTGGGGCCGAGTTCCAACGGCGGGGCGTGGGCGGCTCGGACTCCGGCTGGGTGCACCTGTATCGCGACAGCCACCGGAACTCAGGATCCGGGGTCTGCGGATCGAAACCTGTGGCGGGAACAAAGAGGGACTACTGAGCCACGGGCTTGAAGAACCGTTCCACCTCTGCATGATTGTATGGCCGGGAGCAAATCGCTCAGCCTCTCCGGAGGGTCTCCGAAGCCTTTTCTTCTCGCGCACATGGTGGATCTGAGATTCAAATGCAACAATAAATATGAAAACAAAAGTGCCGTCCCAAGGTAGATCCGCGCCACTCCTCCCACCTCGTGGTAACTAGGTGCCAAAGCCTGTGCTTCATGTGTACATTACCTCCTTAATCCTCACAACTAACTTTAGGAGGTAGGGAACTATTGTCCCACGGCAACTGAGTTCAAGTGGAGTCTAAGTCAGCTCAGTCACAGAGTGAGTGGCAGAGTGGGGACTTAGATGTCAGTATAAGGAGTGGACTGGGGGCTTTAACGACCTATAGTCTCCATCAGCAACGCGCAAGCCACTCCAAATAAACACTCTAAGCAAAAGCAGAGTGCTTGCTATGAAATATACCTTCAAGACAAGTCCTCTGGTTCCCCCTTAACCCGATTGCCACTCCTCCTTTCTAGAAATTCTTGAGTCGCCTCTGCCTCTCAGTCAAACCCAGGTCTGACCCCCAGACACTTGTTGTTAACTTCTATGCTATCCTGCCTGCTCCCCTTGTAGAACTGCATGAACCTGACCCAATTGAATTGGATTTGCAAGGACATCGTAAATGAGGAGACTTGGGCCCCAATTCTGACAATGACACTGCCAGACAAAGCTTTTAAATTATTTTCAGCATTTTCATACTACTGACCCATACGCAGCCGCATCTGATGCTCACAGAACCCTTGGAGTGGTAGATAAGGCAAGTTCATATTTCCGTTGTACAAATAATAAAGCCAAAGCCTGAAGAAATAAAATGTATTATCCACATTTAAATCCAGAACTGAGATCTCTGGACTCTGTGGGCTTTGGAGTCAGGCCATGGGGTTCCAAAGCTGGTCCTATTACTTCAATTGATGAATGACCTTGGATAAGTTACTTACTTTCTCTATGTCAGTTTACTCATCTATAAAATAGGGGATCTACTTTTTAGTATTGCTCAAAAGACTGGACAGGAGAACGTGATTGTTGTGCATTTATCTGGCACACAGTAGGTACTCAATTAATGTTAGCTAATTCTTTTCTCTAACTGCTGTCTCTTGGCCAAGGCACTCGCACTTTGTGGCCTTTTGTGCTGCGCAACATTATCCACCAAGGACTCGGTGGAAAAAACCTAGTTTCTTTCACCTGTAACCTCATCCTGGACACCAGTCCCTTCATCTGTAAAACACAAGGGTTGTGCTGGTGGATATCCAAGAGCTGGTCAGCTCTGACAGTCCCCTCTCACCAGGGCCCTCCCTGAGGAAGTCCACATTGTGACAGTTGCTCAGAGAAGTTGAGTTAGTGCAGTTACCCTGCTGGTTACCCCAGGTGTGGACCCCAGAAGGAAGAGTAGGTAAGGGGGACAGACAGATACTTAAGCCTAAAAGAGAGAAGTCATCCTCAACTCCTCTCTCTTCTTCATTCTCATAGCCAGGCACCAAGCTCTATTCATCCATTCAGCAAATACTTAAGTGCCTACTACGCACCAGGCGTTGTTTTAACCACTGGGGGTAAAGTTGTGAACACAACCCTAACTCACTGCCTCCACGGTGCGTGCTCATCAGTTTGCTCTCTCCCATCCACCGTCTCTTCCCCATTCCCCATGCCACATGTTTATGCCTGAAGCACTGCAGTACACTCCTGTTGATCTCCCTGCTCTAGGCTCTCCCCTTCTGCATCAGTTTGCCAGAGGAGCTTTTATAATATGCAAATCCTGCCTTGTCATTCCTCGGTTTAAAATTCCTACAGCTCCCAACAAGCTAGAGGGCAAAGTCCGAGCTCTTTGTTGGTTATTTAAGACCCTTTATGAGCTGTCTGCTGGCCTCTCCTGGCTCGGCTCTTTCCACACCCTCCTACTACAGCAAGTTCAGTCCTACCCAGTGACCTGCTCTTCCTTCCACTGCCCTCTTTCCCTTGTTGTCTGCCTGGGAAAGAACTCATTCATCCTTCAAGTCTCAGCTTAAACATCACCTCCTCCATGAAGCCTTCCCTGAGCCATTTATATGCGACGGGTTGGCATGAGTTTAGGAAGCACTAGAGCAAAACTCAACACTTCAGGCTCTCGAGGAGACTTTCTTTCTTCTTCTTCTTCTTCTTCTTTTTTTTTTTTGGTGAGGAAGATTGGCTCTGAGCTAACATCTGTGCCAATCTTCCTCTTTTTTTTTTTGTATTTGGGATGCCGCCACAGCATGGCTTGATGAGTGATGTAGGTCCGCGCCCAGGATTTGAACCCACGAATCCCGGGCCGCCAAAGTGGAGCGCACGAACTTAACCACTATACCACTGGGCCGGCCCTGGAGGAGACTTCCTAATCCTTTCTAATCCTGGCTTTGTAGTTTACCAGCGATGTACTTGGACAAGGTACTTAACCTCTCTGAGTCTCAGGTTCCTCATCTGTAAAATGGAACCATTGATAATACCTACCTTGTAAGGTTGTGGTAAGGAAAATGAGATAATGTGAAAAGAACAGTGTCTAACACACAATAAGTCAACAATGAATGTTAGCTAAGTTTGGGCCCTCTTGTACAGAAGGAGGAAACTTTATGAGTTCCTACTATGTGCTGGGCACTTTTACATGTGTTATCTCGTTTAATTCTTGTAACTCCATGAGGAAGATATTCTTTACATATAGAAGAGGTCTACAAAACCAAGGTTCAGAGAGGTGAGGTGGTTTGCCCAACGTCACACAGCTAGGGTCCAGCAAAGATAACTTTCAAAAGCAAGGGGCTGCGTAGCTTCAAAGTCCATGCTCTTTGCTGTTATTACTATTATTACCCCTCCTACAACGACTACTAATAATCATAAAAGAAGTTATCCTTATTAGTTTAAGATTTGGAGATAAATTTCCTCCTGCTTGTAGAATAAACCTTAAACCCCTTAACCAGGCGTTCAAGGCTCTATAATCTTGTTTCTACGTCCTTTCCCCCATGTTCAGGCTCCATGGTGAGACCATGACAGAAGGGAAGCCCACCTCCCATTCTGAAGAGACAAGATGTTAGCTTGGAAGGAAATGAGTAATAGTGTTGGGCAAACAGCTAAGGCCCAGCAGCTGGTGGCTTGAATTTGCATGTTCTATGGCTGATCTCTGCTCTGTACAAACTCTTCTTCACCTGCCTGGCTGATCTTCTCATCTAAACAAATTCTGCCCTACCACTAACGTCTCACTGCTAGGCCACAGCTAGGCCATTTTCTCAGCGGCAGTGGGGGACAGGGCAGGAGAGCCTATTTGATAGACTTCCCTTGGTTCTGGCTGTGGTTGGCAGAGAGAGGGAAGATGGGCCTCTAGAAGCTGCTGACCCCTGCCAACTGGTCAGAGATTCTGCATCAGAATCACAGCCCACCCTGTGCAGCCCTGCCCAGAGCCAGGAGGGCAAAGGGGTCCTGCTGGGGTTACAACTCAGGTCCAGAAACAGGAAAACTGAAAATCAAACATCATGGTTGGCTGGAGGCCTGGGGGCATTGTGGTCTCATGCCAGTAACTTTGAGAGGGCACAGAAGCTGTGGAGTGTGGGTCCAAAATGTGGAAAGTCAACTGTAGTGGGTAGATCAGTGCCCGCCAACCCCCACAGGGAGACTGGGCTCTTACCTACCTGGACAGGCCCTGGCAACTTCCTGGAGGAACATCCTGGTGTGGGAACCAAAGGGTAGCTGGAATATGAGGCTGAGCTCCGCTGTGTCCAGCTGGACGGTCACATCTGAGCCTGCAGACAGGAGGCAGGAAATGAGCCCTTGGCCTCCAGGAGCTAAGTGCTTAGCTGCATCTTGAGACTGGAGTCCCCAGAATGGAGGGTCAGCAGCCCACACTCCCAAAGCCCCTTAAGCAATACACTAAAGGCTGCTGCTGGGGCAATAAGGGAACCCTCCGTACCCTCAGCTCCAAATTAACCATCCTCACTCCACAGTGGGGGTGGACCAAGGCCCTAAAAGGTCAGTGAGCCTGGCCACAGCAGCACGCGATGCTGCTGGAAGAGAACAAGGTCTCTGACCTGTAGTCTATCCCCCGAAGTGGAACGAAAGGCACAGAGAGGCAGATGGGAGGGGCTGTCTGTCCGTCAGTCTACCTGTCTGAGCCAGGCACGTGCTAGGCCCTGGGAATACCAGGGCGAGGAGAACAGACGGGGCCTGTCTTCAGGGAGCTAGACTGTGGATAGCGTCTTGCTCAGAGCAACCCCAGCACCCGCAGGCACATGGTGAGCACCCACGAACATGTGCTGAACTAATGAAGGGGTGCAGTGATCTAGCAGAGTCATCCAGAGTGTGGGCTCTGGAGTCTGGATTCCGAGTTTGAATCCGGGTTCCACGTCTTCCTAAAGTACTGAATTCTCTGGGCCTCAGTTACCTTGTCCATAAAATGGGGATGAAAACAGTGATGACCTCACAGAGTTGTGAGGAAAGCACCATATGATGTGTGTAAAGGTCTCAGCATACTGCCTGGCACAAGATAATCATTGATTGAATATTCACTTCTATTATTCTTATTATTATTAATTACTGCTACTACTACAGTCTAACAAAGAAGACAGACATGAAATAGGTCATCGTAAATACTTAAATCCCTGTGAATGACAGAAAGCTGGCAGGGATGAGAAAAAAAGAATGTGTATCGTGAGATACAAACAATTTCAGGAGTTTAACAAAGGCTTCCTGGGAAAAGTGACGTGTGAACTGAAGCCCTGAAGGATGAGTTGGTGAAGTGGAAAGAGGTGTGAAGGGTTTCAGGAAGAAGGAACAGCATGTGCAGGGGCTCCGTGCTGAGAAGGATCCTGTTTGAGGTGATGGAAGCGATCAGAAGATTCCGAGGGCAGCAGGCAAAGAGGGAGCTGAGGCTGGAGAGGGGGTGGGCCGCATCCCGCAGGGCCTCGCTTGCCACAGTAAGGTTGTTGGAGGGTGCTCTGACTTCACACCATTCCTCTCTCTGCAGATCCTGTACCCCTGCCCCAGCTGGGACCCAGACTGAAAGGACCGCTCACCAAGAATGTAGAGTTCGCCATCTGGGGACACTGTGGGGAGGAAAAGAAAAAGGCCCTTAGCAAGTGAGCATGAGCACCCCAGGCCCAGCGCCATCCTTGCTCCCATGCCTGCCCCCAAAAGGGCAGAAATGACCTAGGGGCCCAGAGGAGAGGGACTCATACCACCCAGCCCCCTGTGGCACCTTCTTCCAGCGTAAAATCCCGCGAGATCGGCACTATCTGGTCCAGAGAGACGTCGTCCCCAGTAATGGCCATCCTCCGGTGCGTATACAGGAAGAGACTAGGGGCAGGAAGCAGAGGTGAGGATGGGGCCTGCTGGCCGTCCCTCAGGCCCATCGTGGAGGTCTCGGGGTGCTCACACTCCCTCCTTGGTCCCTAGGGCTGTGCTGGTGATGCCCAGCTATGCACACTCCTCATGCCCTCTCTGTTCACGGTGCCCATCAGAGACTGCAATTTTATGGATAGGTCATCAAAGCTCAACTTGTCTCACTTGGGGGAGCCACTGCTTTGTTAGTAAAACACGTGCTCAATCTATCCATCATGCATTCTAGCCCTGCCTGTGACAGGAACAGTGCAACCTTAGCCACCCCCTTTCCCTTCCTGAACCCCAGTTTCTCCACCTATAAAGTGAGGGTGGTGGATTAGAAAATGTCTAAGGCCCCTCCCTCCCAGCTCTGAGACCCTGGGGTTCACTTTCTGGCTATGAGACCTTTGACAAGTAGTATTTCTTCTCTCTAATGTTCCTGGGTAATACGTGGGCATTACTGGGCAACGTTTATTGAGCACTTTCTATGGGCTTCACGGTGTTTTAAACACTTTACATGTAATAACTCTCTTTAATCTGGACAAATTCAGGTAAAGAGGATTAAAACAACTTACTCAAGATCACGTGGCTCAGAAGTAACAAAGCCTGGATTTGAACTCAGGCAGTCAAGCCACGAGGCTCAAGATCTGGGCCAGTGTGGTAAAATGCCTCTTCTCCAGAAGCTTCCTCATCATATTTTGAGGGTTATATGAGCTAATACATATGAAAGGCTTAGAATATAGTCTTCAAAAAATATTAACCGTCATGCTTACAATTATTCTAGAACACTCAGACTCTGCCCCAGAGGGATGGTTGAAGTCCAGCTGGAGGGAACAGTGAAGAATAACCCCATGGCCCACACAGGCAAGGACCAAACCCCCACTTACGCGTGTTCCTGGCCTCCACGTTCCAGGCGGGAGCGCACGAGTCCCAGGAGGAGGCTCTGCGTGCTGTCTCCCTCACACAGCACACCTTGCACTGCCTGCTGCTCGGGGTCAAGGGAAACCAGAACAAAACCAGAGGCCAGGCTTCTCCCAACCCAGCCCGCCCCACCTTCCCTGCCCACCAAGATTCACTGTGTGACCTTGGGCAAGTGGCTTCACCTCTCTGAGCCTTCCTCATCTGTGTAATGGGGATAAAACTCCCCAACTTCGCCAGGGGTTGGGAGGATAACTGAGTATTCAGCATGTGGCAGAGAGTCCAGTACTGAGTAAATACTTAGTAAATTCTGGTTTCCTTCTCCCCCTGATGGCACAGAGAGAGAGAGGAGAGCAGATAGGCACATAGACACCTTCCATTCCACTTTCCAAGGCCAGGGCAGGCGCCGGGGTGGGGAGCTCAGCACCAGGAAGGATATGATGACACAGTATTCCCCTTCCGCCAGGGTCTCCTGGATCGCCACAGACTGGTCCATGCTGGCCCCTGCTGGGCAGACACACCTGGAGGAGGGCCGATGGGAGCCCCCTTAGGTCAACGAGTTACCCAGGAGGTGATGGAGCTGCCTCAGAGGGCTGGGGGCAGGGAGGAGGGGCCTTTGTGCAGGGAGAAAGTAGATGAGGCCTGATCATCCTCCTCTTCCTCCTCCCTAGAATGGGAGTTTAGTTTCTAGGGAGAGGGGCTGTTTCTTTGCCCCTTGTAGGATGTAGTTTGTTGTACCGCCCTTTGTCTAGAAGGGAACCCGTTGTTCCTGAGTGGGGTCCAGTCTACTTGTTGGAAGTGGGGTACCTGGTCCCATTACTGAAGAGAGGGACATGGTCCCATTCCTCCTGGGATGGGACTCTGCCTCCCTTTTGGGGGAGCTGTATTAGTCCTGCTGGCGTCTCTCTGGGAGGTGTCAGTGGTGTGCGTCTGCACGGGGTTACGGGGGACATCCTGTTATTCTCGGGAAGGGAGGGTCTCATCCTGGACAAGGACCCCGGTCCCGTTCCTCTTTCCCTGGAGACGGGAAAAGCATCCCGTTGCTCCTTGGCCCTCACCGCCGCCCGGCAGGCCCCATTGCATCAGCCACAAGCCAGGGGGTGTCTGGTTCTGACAGCAGCAGGCCAGGGGTCCCAGCCCTCAGCTTGCCCACCCCCTCCCACCCAGCCCTGCCCTGGCTTCCCTGCCCTGCACCTGCTCCCAGTCCCCTGCCATTGCCGCCTACCTCCTGAGCTGTCACCGCTCCTGTGCGGGACACTGCGGCCCTGGGCCGGCCAGTGACTACATTTCCCAGCAGCCCCCGCGCTACAAGATGGTCAGCCAGCCTGCAAGTCCCAGCATGCCTGTGCCAATCATGGGGGTCTCCCCGCCCCCATTAACTCCTTAGGGCCTGGGGTACACTGGGCTCCGTATTCCGGAAAGGTTTTCCTAACGAATGCCTTAACTTCCACCGCTGGCCCTCTAAGTCATGGGGCCAGAGCTCCCGGCCCAGGGCCTGGAAGGAAGATGGTCACGTCTGCCCTAAGGGGAAAGATAATGCATTTTTACTTTCTCCTCAATTCCATCCCCAACTCCTCTCTTTCCAGGCGGGCCAACTCAGGGCTCTGCTGAAAGTCTTCCAGCTCAAATAACGACCCTGTCCTAGCTTCAAGGAGAGCAACACTATGAAGAACCATTACTCCCATTTTCCAGGTGGAGAAAGCGACGCTCAGAGAGGCTATAAAAGTTGACCAAGGTCCTGCAGCGAAGCGAGCAAGTGGCAAAATTGGGCCTCACCTGACAGTCTGACTCCAACTTCTGTGCTGTGACACTGCCATACACTGCCGTATTTCCTCCCTCAGCCTCCTGTGTGTGTCTGCATGTGAGACGTGTGAATGACGTGTGAACCACGTGTGTGTGATGGGGAGCACTCGGTCCTGCCCGCCTCATGGGGCTGTTTGAGGGTAATGGATGGGAAGGCACTTTGTGAAGGGTGTGACACTGTTCGTATGCAGTCCAGTGCTGAGACCCAGTCCTCTCTCCTCCTCCGTGGGGAGGATAGAGGCCGGGGAGGGGCCCCCCAGCTCTCAAGACAGCCTGAGGGTGCACTTTATTGTTCTCAAGCCCGGTTCCCTGGATTCACCTGGTCACGTGCACTGGGCCAAGGCCTTTCTCCTTTTGGGCCTGGATTTTCCCATCTAAGATAAGTAAGTTGCTCCAGAGGGGCAAAAAGGGCCAGCCCAGATAAGGGAGTCCAGGTCTGTCTGGTCTCTCTCTCGGCCTGTCAGCGTGTCACTAAGCTGTAAGCCCCCTGAGGACAGGGCTGTGTCTTCTCCTCATCACCCCAGCACAGTTTCTGGCACACAGTTGGCCCTCAGAGCGTGTTTATTGAATCAGTGAATGAATGAATGAACTATCTTAATGAATACACCTTCTCTCAAGCTTTGACCCAAACTGAAGGGTCAGAGCTGGGGAAGGAGTGACCCCTGTGACTCTAACCAGTGCCCCACCTCTTTCCCTAAACTGGGAGTTGCCGCCCTAACGACTAGTCCGACTCTGTATATGTAAACCTCCTTCAGAAACAGATGTCACCTTCTTCCCAGTCTTCTCCTCTTCCTAGAAATATCCACAGCACACACGTAGCTCAAGTTTATTTGAATTTGGTTTCAAAGTTCTGTGGAGGATGAGGGGACAGGGGATTGATACCGATCCTTAGAGATAAAGGGGGTGGGAGTCACCGCAGGAAAGCAGGGGAACCCCAATTCCAGCCCCTCTCTTAAAGTCAAAGGCTGGGAGAAATGCATGAGGCCGGACATTTTTCACAGATGAAGAAACTGTCCCTGCAGGACTCTGGGGTCCTCCCACTTGATGGGGGTCAGACAGGGGGTTGTTCTGTTTTTCCAGACAAACCCCAGCCTCTCCTTGGATTGGCGCTAAGGCCCTGCCCCCTTGGAGGGCACCGTGTTCAGGCCTAGGCCAGAGCTGTGGACTTGATAAATCCTTTTCACTAAAGACAGAGCTACAGGAATCAGAGCTGGGGGCGGGCCTCGGGACCTGCAGGCCCACAGGGTCTTCCTGGCTGCTGTCCCCTGATTCTGCTGGGCCCAGCCAGGGGAGCAAGAATGGCAGCAGGGCACAGTGGAGGAGCTGCAGCACTGCCCCAGCCAGGGCCCAGTGCAGGCGGCTGCTCTGGGCCCCTGGGGCTGCCCAGGTGAAGTGGAGGTTCCCATCCAGCTGGAGGCAGCTGCCTGAGACCGAGGCTTGGCAGCACTCCTGGTAGCAGGGCTGAGCCACAGCCCCGTGACACCTGGGAGTCCCTGCCACACAGGTCTGGCTGCAGCCTGCAGTGCAGCCTGAGCTGGACCCTTTCAGCTGCAGGAAGAGATGGGCTCATTCATCCTCCTGTTGCCCCTCTCCCCCACTCACGGGGGCAGAAAAGTGTTAAGTGGGCCATGGGCTGAGTGAACCTCCCTGGACTCCTCGCTCGCTCCCCCCGAGGTCAGCCAGCCAGTCCCCAGAGAACATACAGAGTCATCAGAAATGAGGGGCACATCATGGAGACTTGGAAAATTCCAGCTGCTGCCCTGGATTTGGCATCACGCAGAGCTGAGAGGGTCGAGCACGCCAGACCCCAGGCAGCCTGGCTCCAGCCAGCTTCGGCTGCTGACCTGCTCTGTCCAGAAGGTGGAGAAAGGCCTGCAGTGCTGAGGGAGGGCAGCACCTCAACCTTGGACTCTCCAGGGGCCCACCTCACAGAAGTCCAAGCCCTCAGGGTACAGGGTCACAATTTTCTGTCCTTTGAAGCAGTCACTGCCTTGGCAAGGGAAGGTGACACAGATTCCCGGGAAGAGAAAGTGGAGAGCTCTGTCTAGACCAAAGAGAGAGTGAATGCCAGACAGAGGCGCGGCTGGAGCCCCATCCTGCCTGTCCCAATGGCCCCAGCCACCGCACGTCATCATTCCTGCCTCCACCTCCCAGAGCAGGCAGGTGTGAACGAGACACTCACGTTTCTCTTGGGGGCTGGCAGGGTGGTGGTCACCAGGGCTGGAGTGGAAAGCAGCTTGTCCTCTGGGACAGTCAGGTGGCCTAGGCCTGGGAGCAGAGCAGGGCTGCCTGGGAAAGTGCTGTGACACCTCTGCTGGGGGTTGATTCCTCTGCCAAGTCCCAGTCCCTGCCCTGAGGGAGGGCATCTTGTGTATTGTCACAACCTGAAACTCCCTCTGCTGCCCCCTGCACAAGCACAGGGGCTTGCTCTGGCTCCCCTGGAGCTAGGGGAAGGGGAGCACTAGCTAAGCGGGGCTGGGGACAGGTGGGGGGAGTTGGGAGAGGGAGTCTGGAAGCGGGGCACTGAAGGTAGAAAGCTCAGACTTGGGGAGTCGCTGAGGAGGAGAGACCTCAAATGTAAAGGTCAGCCTGACAAGGTTTAGAGGTCAGGGTGTTGATAGAGGTTGGGGGTTGGTGAAAACTGAGCTCAGATTTGAGGGCCTGTCAAAGGGTGGGGTTCAGAGTTGGGGCTTAGTGGGTGGGCAAGGCTCTGGGCTGTGGAGAGGTAGGGTGGGGCTCAGAGTGTACGGGGCCAATGGGAGCAGAAGTCAGAGTAGGGGGCAATGGAGGCGGGGTTCAGAGCTGCAGGTTGGTGGGGCTGACTCACCTGAGGCCGACTCCCTGAGCGCCAGGCACAGTGGGACGCCACTGCAGCACTGCAGAGAGCAAGCTCCTGGGCTGGGGGCCAAGTTTGTGGGCAGCAGGCAAGGGCTGGGACTGGTTTCATTTCCCCCATCACAACTGAGGCTGCACCGGGCCGTGTAGTGGGAAGTGCTGAGTTGAATCAGCTGAGTAAAGAGAAAGCCGAGGGGCCAGCCCCGGTGCCCTGCTGGTTAAGTTTGGTGCACTCCGCTTCAGCGGCCCAGGTTTGGTTCCCAGGCATGGAACCATACCACTCATCTGTCAGTGGCCATGCTGTGGTGGTGGATCACATTTAAAAAAAAAAAAAAAAAAAAGAGGAAGATTGACAGCAGATGTTAGCTCAGGGTGAATCTTCCTCGGCAAAAAAAATCCAAAAGAGCCAACAAACAAAAAAAGAATGCCAAGGAGTCCAGGAGGCTAGTGGGGACAGCCGGCTCTGGGCCAGATCTCACCCTTTCCCGGCATCCCCAACACTGACTCCTCTCTGTCCCACTTCAGTGTCTCTCATCAGCACCCCTTCCAATGGTACCACTCCCAACCCCTGGAGCAGCCCCTCACGGTAGCACCCCGCCCGGGCCCCATGGCAGCCCCACCCCGTACCTCACAGAGGTGCTCCCTGGTGCTCTGCCATTTGGCTGGAGAACTCTGCCTCCTGGTAGCACATCTCTCCGAAGCAGCGGAAGCCGTGGCATATCTGTGGAGGGATTTGAACACTGTGGCCTCATTCCCATGGGGGAAGACATTCAGGAGGCTCTCTCCTGCATATGCTGCTTACCTGGACAGGAGCAGAGGTCAGCTGACTTCTCATCAGGTTCTGGGCTACCAATAAGACCAGCAGGAGGACTGGTAGGAGGAAAAGGAGAGAGGGAACCATTGCAGGGAGTACCCAGCTCAAGGGTCATAGGTCAAGGAAAGGTCATGCAGTGGTTAAGTGGAAGAGGTCATGGAGTCAGGGAAAAGGGACAGTCCCAGGGCCCAGCAATAGTCATAGGTTAGCGTTGGTCACCGAGTCCAGGAGAGGCTGGGATCCCTGGGCTGAGGACAGCTACCTCTGAGCAAAGCAGCCCTATGGCTACTATTGGCCACAGACATCTTCCGTTGAGGTGTTGCAGGAGCCAGAGAGAGTGAAGGACCAGTGCTGGGCAGGCCAGGGGAGGGCTGCAGAGATTCCCATTATTGTACTATGCAGATAAGTAAACTGAGGCTGGGGAACAGGGGAGGTCAATCTGTAGCACATAAGGGGTCCCAGGGGCTGGGCTTTTGCTTCCCACAAGTCATACTGTCAGAGGGACACTGAGGCAGGCACAAAGGGGCCTGCAGCCTAGTAACAGCCCCTCTCAGAGTGAATGTTGTTGTTGGCATCACAACAGCAGCGTCCCAGGCCCAAGGGGAGACAGAGCTGGAGCAGGTGCAGTGACAGGAAATAGACATCCGGTGCCTCTGATCTGGCCTCATTTGCCTCCCACGTCATAAGATGCTGGGGGTGGGGGTGATGGGCTTCCTCAGAACCCAGGGCAGGGAAAGCGTGGGTCACAGGGAGGGTCAGAAGTCAGGGCGCACTTTGTCCAGGCCTTCAGGCTTCAGACCCCACCCTGTTCCTAAATCAGAGCTGAGCCCAGGCCAGGAGGGCTGATAATCTGCATCTGGGGCTCTGCCTCCCGCAGGACTGAGGGATCAAATCTGCAAGGGTCTGCTAAGCTTGGGTTCAGGTTTTTCCATGCAAGGCAGAAAACTGCTGGAGATGAGAAAGTGGGGCATTATTTCCATCTTCCTGCCCAACCCTGGGAGGCTGAGCTCAACCCAGCCCCCAACGTTCCCAGGGCTAACAGGGCATCTTTCTCTGTCCTTGTGGCTATAGTCCTCCATCAGCACTTGGATCTGTCTCTCAGGTGACAGCTGCCAGGGAGAGCCTGGAGCTAGAACCCCCTGTGGGCTGGGCCCCTTCTGGAGGTGGTCTTTAACGCATGGATGGAGTGGTGCTCAGGATCCAGGGTGCTGAGGGGAGGCAGGATAGGACCCCTTGGCAGTAAGGCTTACTTCTCTCTCACCTTCACCCCTCCTTACCACCAGGAGCCTCTGCCCCCCATTATCCGCCCCCCCACTACACTTAAGAAGCAGTTATCTGGGCAGCACCTCTCCAAGGGGACCTCAGTCTCCAAAGGCACGTGGGTCAAGAGAAGGGCCCAAAGGTTCTACCCAGGTCCCTGTGTCCTTGTGAAAGGAAGGGGCCAGGCCTCCTGCACAAGCCCCTTTTCCTCCTCCCTGGTTTGGGTAGATGAGGCTGGAGGGACAGCTCAGGAGTGTGAGGGGGCCAGACATTCAGCAGAATCAGAAAGCTGGGCAAAGCCTGGATGGTTACCTCCTGGTCTATATTGGTTCTGGCTCCTTGCCCATCTACTTTAGTCTGTGCACTCCTCCATGGCTCAAGAGAATATTCCCAATATTCCCTGTGCCCCACTCCTCCCAGCTATAGACCTATCGGCACACCTGATGGTGCAAAGGGCAGCGTGTGTGCATAAGCTGACCCCAGGGAGGGGACAGAGGGAGAGGAGAGGGAAGGGATGAGTAGTTGAGGCTGGACACAGATTTATTCACTTTCCCCTCGGAAGTGGGGAGTGAGGGGACTCCTGCTCCTGGGAGGTCCATCCCAGGATCAGGCCCTGGGTTTCAGCAGCACCAGCCTGGGAGTCAGTCCCAGGAACAGCTCTCCGGACACTTCCTGCCTGGGCTGGGAGGGGCAGACGGAGTCCTGCAGCTTCTCTGCTGGAGCAGCTTTCCTCCTTGAAGAGCAAGCAGAGCGAGCTGAATCACCCGTTGTCGGCGGGAAGCACCCTGGCAGAGGTTCTGACTCCATGTCTAAAGGAGAGATTCTAAGATTCAGGAAGCAATGATGGACTTCTGGGGACTCATGAACCCCTAAAATTGTGTGCAAAAACATCTCTACATGTATATTTTCCTAGGGAGAAAGTCCACAGTTATCTTTGTATTTCCAAAGGAATCTGTGATCCTAAAAAGATTAAGAACTACTGATCTAAGCCAAGAAAGAGCAACCCTCCACTCCCTGCCCAGCCTGGTCAAGGGGCTCAGGTGACATCCTGTTTTCCCTGTAGCAGACCCCCTAAAGTCCAGATTTGAAGGAGCAACCTCTGGGGAGAAGCACTTCTGATGCGAGCTTGCCTGCACCTCCCTAATAGCTCTGTGCCTCTCGGGGCTGGGTGGAGCGGGCCGTGCGGCTCTTCCTGCTTGCCCGGGAGGCTGTTACTGATTCTCTTTACCTCTGGTTCTGCTCCCACCATCTCACCTCCACCTAATTCTCAAGGTTTGCATACCTAGCTGTGCCTGGCACATGAAAGGCACTGAAAAAATATTTGGATGAATGTAACAAATGAAAAGAATCCTTTGCTGAAATAGGGAAGCCCCAGGTTTCCTCCAAGGCTGCTCTGATGCACAGTTCACAGGATGGCTGCAGTTACCTGCACAACGGTGATGGCAGGACTCCTCAGAACCTGGTCCCACCTCCCCTCCACACTGTAAAAAAGAGAAACAGGTTCTTGGGATACTGCATTCACCCTGCAGCCAGGCACCCAGTTCTAAAGAGGCGGCTCTGAGCAATGTGACAGCTGGAAAGCAGCAGGTGCACTCCTTAGGTGCCTCGATGCTGCTAATGCTCCAACAGGAAGGCCAGAGGGACGTCTCCCTCCATTTCCCACTTCCAAGGCTTTAACTCTCTTCCCAAACGGTGGTCTCCTTGCACCTTGGGCTGGTTTTCAGTAATCGGTGTTTCTAGTTGGCTCAATTAGGTTTAATTATCCATTCACTGCTTCAGAAGCGCAGGCTCTGCAGAGGTTGTCCAATTGCAGTTTTAAGTAACTGGAGGAGCCAAAGCACAAACGAACATGTGAGGCGTTGCCCAATGGATGGATTGAACGAGGAAGGAAAATACCAACCCAGAGTGAAGTGCCATGGGGATAGGGGTGGCGAAACCCTACTGCCATGGAGATGACTAGGGCAACAGGTAAGTGTGAGGGGGAGGGCCAGGTCCGGGAGTTGGGATTTTTACAAATAGATACATTACAAAACAACAAACTGAAGGTGTGAGTGCCGAGGGGCAAAGGAGGCCTCTGGAGAAACTCTATTCTGGAACAGCCCTGGCCTTCAGCTGACTGTGCCTGTGGGCAGATCAATGCCTCCTTGGCTCCCTTAGCTTCTTCCATTTGGGGTACCAGATTCAGATCCTGGGGCAGCTGCTCAACTCTACCCAAATCTTGGCTACCTGGGCTTGGAAAACACAAGAATATTAGCCGTTTCTCAGTTAAGCGGGCATGTCGTAGAAGAAATAGGCAGACCGGATCGCCAAAGACTCTCGTTCTGAACTAGCAAGCAGATGAAGTCACTGCTGGTCCTAGCTCCATTGTATGCCAGGCTGCTGAGGCCTGGGGAAGGGCCAGGGCTGCAGGCCCATTCCAAAACAGCTCAACTCCTTTCTTTATGCAAATAAAAAAGGCAAACCTTGGTGCCACAATTTTGTCCTTAGCAGAGGTCCTAGCTCACCCTCCCCATCTTTCCCTAGTATGTGCATGAACGGCTGACTCAACTAAGCATCACCTGGGGTGATGCTCATTTGGGGAAATGGCAGTAAATGGGGGTGGGGAAAGAGGTTAGGTGAGATTTACCTAACATAATATGTAACATAACAGGTGCTGATTAAACCTCAGTTGCCACTGAGGTTGAGGAGAAAGAGGCAGGGAAGTGTTAAGAACTGAAGGATTGAGTGAGTCCATAATCCTGGGCTTTAGAACAAGACACATTCAGAACAAGGGCTGGTTTTATTTTCCGACAGAATCTTTTTTAATATAAAACAAAGATAAAACACATCTCAACCCTGCAATCTGCCAGCATGCCTTGTTTCTACAAGATGCAGGCTAGACCAGAAGACTAAGTAGCAAAGAGTCTTTAGGAGCATTTGGTCGGGAGAAATAGAAAAAGCAGATCTTAGGGAAGCCTGGGCAAGCCCCAAAGCTGAGATACATCCCTGAACACTAGAGCAGTCCTTGTCTTTTCAGATCCTCATATGTCTTCTTATTCACAACATTCCCACTGGAGTCTTCATACTCTTCCTAAAAGGGAAGGGGCACACTGTTAGCCAGGCCTCCTGGGAGAAATGTTTGGAACCAACCTGAACTCACCCTGGTTTGATTCCATGGCATTCATCTAAGACAACCTTTCTCAACTGGGGTTCTGCAAGAGAATGAAACCCTACTGCCCTAAGGCACCCACTGTGTGTAATGAACTAACTTCTCTCCTAGGCATCGAGGATGGTACGTTATGACCCATCCTCGGGATATCTGAGAAAATAGTTCATTCAAATCACTTTCTGTGTTTAAGATGAGGAACCCTGGTTGAGAAAGGTTGATCTAATAGAACAGTTTTCAAACGGTTCCCAAGAAAACCTAGGATTCTGCAGGGGTTGAAAGGGAGGCCAAGAAGGCTGAGCCTCCCACTTTAGAGCAATTCTGCTTTATTTTATTTTATTTACTGGAGTTCTACATTACAGTTTAAAAAGGACTTTGCTGCTAAAAAAGGAATATTGAAAACCAATGACTTAAAGGAAAGGGAGTTGCCACCACACCTCACATACATGTCATTTGTCATCTCTGAAATCTGCTATTTGGGATGACTATCTCAAGACCAACAAGGATGCCTCCCCATTCCACGAGAGGATCATCTCTCATTAGATGATCTCCTCAAAGGAGATCTACAAGGAGAAATAACCTAAGGACATTTTAGCTTATGAATCCTCATGGCAGAACAAGACACTGGGCACTCCTGCTTGCCACTTCAAAATTTCAATGGGAGAATATAACCTGTCTTAAGACACAAAGTCTGACACACTTAATATCATAAATAAGTTAGGCTTACATGTCAAGAGCCAATTTATAGATATTGTTACATTATATCCGCCACTATGATCATGGGTCACTTAACGACTGGGATATATTCTGAGAAATGTGTCATTAGGCAATTCTGCCATTGTGCAAACATCACAGAGCGTACCCCAACAAACCTAGATGGTATAGTCTACTACACACCTAGGCTCTATGGTACTAATCTTATGGGACCACCGTCATATATGTGGTTTGTTGTTGACTGAAACGTCATCATGTGGCACATGACTGTACAGTGAACCAGGAACCATCTTTCACCTCCCTTCTACATGGTGAGGGAGCTCTGTCACTTGTCGCTATCCCCAACACTACGTTAGCACCTACCTCAGTGTCAGGCTGCCATCGTTCTGATGCCTTCTGCAGTTTCAGCTTAGCCCACACTGCAGGATGAGAAATGAGCAGCAATCAGGATTGACTGATTATCCACTGGCTAGATGGTGTTACATCACACCTAATAGGATCCCCCTGGATGACCCTGCCCTTGAGACTTTTGCCTGCCCCAAACTGGAATTTCAGTTCTGGACCACATATAGACAAAACCCCTTCCACTGCAAAATTTACCATAATCTTTGCTTTGCTGTGAAAGAAAAGGTGGATCAAATATAATCAAAGACCTCTGAGAACAGAGAACTGATACTCTTGAAAAAAGAAGTTAATGTGGTACAACCTATGGGAATTATGGGAGAAAGTGACCTTATTATCTTAAAGTTCATTACAAAAGAGAAGGAGCACACTAGACATTATCAAATACATTTGCTTAAAGTCTGGTGCACATATTTCAAAAACTTCAGAGAAAAAAACAGGTGAAACGTCATGGCCAAAGAGTCTAAAGGTAAGATGGCTCAACAAACACTGGCGACATTAAAATAAGAATCCTGACAGTTCAATAACAAATTATCCCAATGAAGATGAAAAGGGGAAGACATCTACAGACACCACATCTTCAGGAGAGATCAGACACGTACACAAGACAGGCCAGATACAAAACCAGGGAAAGAACGATTTAAATCTGTAAGAATGGTGTCAGGAAGGTGCACTCTCAGAACAAAGAGCTACGTGCAACAGACAGGACAGGTCTGCTGACACAAAGATGACAAAATATTAATAGATGATGGTGAGAAGGCACAACTACTTGATTCCTATATGCTTCTACATTTCTCATCAAGCAGAACAATCTCTAAACTTGACAAGACTAGAAGAAATACCATATAGAGAAAGCTGAAGTCTAAGATGGGGGAAGAAATAGTAAATGAGACAATATATGAAAAAGTGCTTAGCTCTGTGCCTGGCGTATAGATGCCCAACTAATCATCTTTTCCTTCCTTGCTAATTGCTTTAAATTAGCTGAAGTCTTCAGGCCCAGATAATATGCACATCACGAAGGAAGGGAGAATTTATCATGTGCTACTACGTGCCAGGGCAGGGTTCTGTCATATTCTTTGTCCAGGCCATTCAGGAATCCAACCCATAGTGGTACTAAACCACTGGAGACTTGAATGCTGTCACGATTTTCTTAAAGAAAAAAATGGATGTAGGAGACTGTGGAGCAGTAAGGGAGAAGTTAACTGTTCAGAGGGATCTGAAAACAATTAGAAAAGAATGGGATCACCTCTGGGTGCCAGCGTGAGTTCACTAAGAATAAGTGAAGCAAACTAATTGAATTTCCTGTTTTTGATGGATAGCTGACCCGATAAAAAGCCATAGACACAGGACATCAGGATTTTAGCAAAGCAACTGCTCTCATAGGCAATGTCCCTACAGTTTACTGGAACACTTAAATCTCTTAAATGCTATTATAAACAAGATGGTGAACTTGATGCTATTAGTTCTAGTTAGGTAGATTTATACCTACTGACTATTAGTCAATTGTAACCTACCACCTAAATGGGGATCTCTGGTGGCAATTCCACAGGGCTCTTTCTTAGCTGTCTTTTGTTCAACTTTTTAAAAAAAACCTAAGTCTGGAACAATGGAATAATTGCCATAATAAATTTAAAAGTGAAATCCTTCATTTACGTAAAAAAAAAAAAAAAAAAAATTATACTCTAACTTAAATGATAGTACTGAATCCCTCCCTCCTGACTAAAAACTCCAAAAGAAAAACTTCAACAGAATGATCTAAAACCAAGACAAGTAAATTCAGTGTTCCGGCTGTGCCAATGGTTATTTCCCTGCCCTCTCCCTTATTAGGGAGAGACGTGTTCTAGAAGGAGCAGTTTGATCTAACAAGTAACTACTTTTGCCACCAGCTACTGAAGAAAGAGCTGATTGGACCACAGATGGGATCTGATCCAGTTGCGCCTACCTATTGTTTTTCTCAGGTATTAGAAATTGGGACACTGAGACTGAATGCGCTGGATGACGGCAGGCTCTAAAAACTGAAAAAGTCACATAGAGCAAAGGCTAGAGTTGCCGTTGTTGTGAGCTAAGGTTAAAACAGAAGACACAGGGGCTGGCCCCGTGGCACAGTAGTTAAATTTGGCGCATTATGCTTAGGCGGCCTGGGTTCACAGGTTCAGATCCTGGGCTCAGACCTACACCACTTGTCAGGCACACTGTGGCGGTGACCCACATATAAAGTAGAGGAAGATTGGCAGAGATGTTAGCTCAGGGCTAAACTTCCTCAGAAAAAAACGAGAAGACACAAGCAAGTGGAGAAGGCATATGTACAGAGAGAAGCACAGCTGGATAAGCATACTCTTGCGAACAGGATGGAGGGCATGCAGTTAATTTTAATAGGCTCTCTTCCTTATAAATGAAAATCCCTAAGGTGTCTACTTTGAGTGCTTAAAAAAAAAAGTACAATCTAGGTTTAATAAAAAGGAATTACACAGGAAATGAAGAAAAGTTGCAGAAACTGTACAGAATAATAGAATTAACTTCAATTCAATAACTAATTGATGTTTACTATCAGTGAGACACCTGAGATAAAGCTGTCACGATCATGTAGGAGTCAATATGTATCTCTACCTGTTACTGAAGTCTGAAAGGAAGCCAGAGAGTGAATCTAAGATACTTAAAAGGAGGAATAATGCCTGGAAAAACCAAGGGGAGGGGGGAGGTGATGATAAATTTGTAGTAAACCTATGAAAGGTCATTGAGGGTGGATAAAAAAATGAAAAAAGAAAGTGATATTGAGATAGAAGTAAAACTAAATGTTACATAGAGAACCTAAAAATATTAAGGGAAGTCATGACGGAGGGAAATAATACATCAAAGAAGTTGCAATAACAAAAACATGCATATGACAGAAACTGATTAACCTAGCCATCTGAGTAAGGAGATAAATTCTGAAAATAATATGAGTAACAGAATCATGAGCCTGCCACCAATATTCTAGAAATAAATAAAAATTACCTAAAAATCTCTGCATGGCTACTGAGAGAATGCATGAAGTTTCTTTCTGGAATAACCCTTAATAATCAACTCTTAGAAAAATCTGCTTGATGAGGGTGATTTAAAAGAAGGCAATATAGCATTATGGAAAGAGAAAAAACTGTTACAAGACAGACACAGGTTTGATCCCTGGCTTTTTTCTACTTACAAGCTGTGTGACCTTGAAAAAGTTACCTAACTTTCCTCTTCTGAAAGTGTGGGTGCCCTACTACCTCACTGGTTGTTCTGAAGATTAAATGAGTGTAAAACATCTCCTATTTACCTGGCACAAGCAGGGATTTGATAAATGGCAGCTACTAATACTAACATTAAACTCCGAATGAAAAGATAAAGGTGACTCTGGATCTCACTCCTCAGACGCTGGAGAGGAGCCCACAAGTGAAGGTGATGAAGACAGCAGCTTACGCTTACTCACTGAGGACATTCTACACTGGGGCAGACATGGCTGTAGCACTTCACCTGTATCATCTCATTTACACTTTGAGACAACTCGGAAGTAGATCAAGAATTACCACCCACACTGATAGATAAGGCAACTGAGGCACTGACAGAAGTAACTTGCCTAGGGTCCCATAGCTATAAATGGTGGAGCCATGATTTGAACCCCAACAGGTTGCCTCTCCAGAGCCTGCACTCCTAACCACCACATGAAACTATATTAGGAATGTGGTTTTGCACCGACTTTACCCTTGAAGCAGAACATACCAAAATGTAAAGAACCTGACAGAACCCATCAACAAAGTCCTGGGGTAAAAGATCACGGCAAGAGATGATGGGAATCTGAAAGCAGAAAAGCCGCTTTTTACAAGCAAGGTGATAAGAACCCTGTCAGACATGGTAAGATTAAAGACATAAAATAAAATCTACTGAATCATTATGAGAGTAAGAAACAAGTATAAAGTTTACAGTGCTTCAGACCATCAAGATATTTACCTCCTGTAAATAATTCAACCAAATATATAATAATAAATAACAGAAATTAGCAGAAATAAACTATTAGTTGAAATATTAAAGTTAGAAATATTAGAAAAATATCCAAATAAAAGGAATAGATTCAAGTCTCCTATATAATCCATGTAAATGAGAATCTAACAAAAAACAAGATAACTTTTCTAGCAAAGGAGTTAAATACATATAGATCCATTAATACACTGAGTGTAAAAGGCTTAATACCCATATACAATGACGAGTATCGATGACAGGGGTGAAAAATAGCCCACATTTGCTGCCAAAATTTTGATAATTGGGGAAATGGTCAAGTCCATCACAACAGAACAAACAAGTTATCAGATAAAGGGAATTTCAAAAAGAAAATGGGAGTGATCAATAAGGTTACAATATTGATTTAATTATGTGGTTTAAACAACACAAAACAAAATACATACAAAATTGGCAGAAATGCAAGAGACAAAATTTAATAACTGGAAATGTCAACATGTCCCTATCAGAATTCAAAATGAATAGGGATAAGTATGAAATTAAGGACTGGAACACTGCAAGAAGATTAAACAGCCTACAGGTGGAGAGAAGCACTTCTTTTCAGGTGTACAGAAATCTCTAACAAATCACTGACTGTAGACCTGGACACAAAGATACAGTATGTTCTAAAGGCAGAAATTCTGAATCTTACTGCATGGGCCAAGAAAAATAAGAATAAATAAAATAGAGTTAAAAGGTGTTCAATCACTTAGAATTAAAAGTACTCTTTTAAATAATTTCTGAATTATTTTTTAAAAGTCATAAACAATACCTTTGATAAATAAAGCTTTAAATATAACATGTCAATAATGGATATTCCCAATGGTTCCTAACAGAATCACATCTAGTTCTAAAGGCCTGTATTAGAAAGAATAAAGAAACAAAGAGAAGAAAGTTCTTGTCTAAAGACTTTAGAAAGGAATAAAGAAACAAGATCAGAAAGCATTAACAGGAAAAAGGAAATAAAACTCAGAATAGAAATAAGGCACTTGGAGCCAGCCCAGTGGTGTAGCGGTTAACTTCATGAGCTCTGCTTCCAAGGCTTGGGGTTCGCGGGTTCGGATCCCAGACTTCGACCAACACACCACTCATCAAGCCATGCTGTGGCGGCGTCCCATATGCAAAGTAGAGGAAGATGGGCACAGATGTTAGCTGAGTGCTAATATTCCTCAACGAAAAGAGGAAGATTGGCAATGGATGTTAGCTCAGGGCTGATCTTCCTCACCAAAAAAAATAAATAAATAAAAATAAATAAAAAATTACAAAAAAAAAAAAAAGAGAAATAAAGCACATGGTTTCCTATTTTGTCATAATACATCAAGGAATTGTATGGGTTATTAACTAAAGAATCTTCTCCAAGTGGTCACTTTGTATGAAGAAGTAATCTCTATTTAAATGTAAACAGTTTCAAATGACAAAAGAGAGTGTAGCATGTCATCCCATCTTTTTTATGCCACAAATATGGTTTTGATCCCTAAACTTGATAAGTGTCTCAAAAGAAAACAAGCACATTTTTTATTTATGAACATAAATACAAAACTTCTAAACAAAATCCTAACAGGATAAATAATTACATTAAAAGAATATCTGCTACCCAGTATGAAATAATCCAGGAACGGTGTTTTACCCAATGCCTAATAAAAGAAAAAGTGGTAAAAATGTTGTAATCTTTCTTTTTTGGAATGTGATGATAAAATCACAAGCCAATCTTAAAATTAGTATAGATGCACAAGCATCGTTCCCTTTAGAAACAGCATTCAAGAGCCGGCCCCGTGGCGTAGTGGTTAAGTGCGTGCACTCCACTACTGGTGGCCTGGGTTCGGATCCCGGGTGCGCACCGACGCACCACTTCTCCGGCCATGCTGAGGCCGTGTCCCACATACAGCAACTAGAAGGATGTGCAGCTATGACATACAACTATCTACTGGGGCTTTGGGGG